CTTGTAACCTTGTGGAGATAATTAATCATATCATGTCCTCGCATGTCTGTGGGGAATCCAAAATGTCCCTCTTATTACCTCACATCCATTGTTAAGACCACACGTGTACTTGTGTTATATTTGGCATCAATGGCATTGTGAGTTTTGCCATGAAGGCAAAACTCCTGCACAAAAGGACCAAATATTAGATTGAAAAAGATGACACTATAATGCATGATTTTTTTTTTTAGCTCTCTCTCTTTGCATTGACCAGTAATGAGTGGTCACAACGGTACCGGGAGTTAGCGAAACTGTCCGTTAGCAAGGATGTCGACAAATGTAACGTATGTCCAGGCAGGTGTATATGTGTATATGTAAATTCCTGTCTCACAATTGTGAAAAAACATGAGTGTTGAGGTTTTAACTCTGACAAAGAAAGGCAAGATAAAAAGTGAGCTATGCAACACTGCTATTATGCTAACACACACCTCCTCCATTTTGTTCTCTCATTCCCCATATAATTAAACCATTTAAAATGCTTGTGTTATCAACTGTACTACATAAATGCTACAACTTATGAACAATGTTAAACTGACAGTTGGGAGCTCAGCACAGTTATCCATCCATCCATCGCCAAACCGCTTATCCTGCACACAGGGTTGCGGGGGGGGGGTTGGAGTCTATCCCAGCCAACTTCAGGCGAGAGACAGAGTACACCATGGATTGGATGCCAGCGAATCGCAGGGCTACACAGAGACATACAACCATTCACACTCACATCCACACACCTACGGGCCATTAGAGTCCCCAATCAACCTGATCCCCAGAGCATGTCTTTGGACTGTGGGAGGAAGCCAGAGTACCCGGAGAGAACCCACGCAGACATGGGGAGAACATGCAGACTCCACACAGAAAGGCCACTGGGCGAAGTCGAACCCAGGACCTTCTTGCTGTGAGGCGACAGTGCTAACCACCAAACCACCGTCAGCACAGTTATAGTTATTCTAATTAAAAAAATAATTAATCCAAAAAGGAAAATACTCCAAACTGATCACTGGACCTCACTACCGTCCTTTCTAGTTCTAGGGGGCTGTCAGTCACATCTGCACAGAGCAATGAGCTTCTCAGGTGTCCTGGAGGTCCTGTGCTTCAGTCCCTGTGGTGAAGCTGCCGTCACATGCAGGTAACTCTAGTGGACTCAATATTAATGACCAGGGCCTCCTTGTAATCCACTTACCGTCATTACACAGGGTCAGCGTGGCTACTGCTGCTCGGCTCTCACAACCCAGCTAGAGGCACCGCTACATTCCATTTGAGTGGCGTCTAGTTGGAATATGGAGAAACACTGTTTTGCTACTTACATTTGCATGTATTGGGTTTTACAAAGTCTTTCAAATGGCCGCGCTACCTATGAGAATAACGTAGACTCTTGAAAGAATGCACTGCAATGAAAAACTGACACACTGGGAAAGAAGGTACATTTCTTTCCCTTTCTCACTCACCCTAACTGAGCCAAATCATGGCAGTGTTGAGACTAATTTGTAGCACACCGAGGAAGGTCCTGACCTCCAGAGTGCTCCAAATTTAAAGATGACAGTTGAGTCTGTGCAATTAAAGCAGCTTCGATAGAGGCCAACAACACTCCGGGGAAGGCCGTAGAGAAAGTTTAAGAAAATACAGGTGGACAGCTCCGAACTCCTCTAACATAGGCAATGCCTTTGTGCAACCCCAGCCCCTGTATGCTGCTTTAGCTCCACATGTGTCAGAGGAATTTTTTGCGCAATCGACCCTCCAGATGAACTTTTACTCCGTGGTCTCAGTCTCCGACGCGCAGACAAAGACAAGTTAACCTCAGCAGGCCTCAGTACACACGTCGCCCCGCATTAATGACCTGCTTTGCCACGTCTATCAGACAGAGTGTGTTGCTATGATTGTCACAAAGTCCCATCAGGGTGAAAAGGCATTCTCCGTCCCGGGGAGGAATAAAGGTCATTCCATGTTCAATCCCTCCAATTCTTAAAGTCTTGTAATTAAGGTGCCCCGAAGACCTTTGCCTACAGACGTGAGGTAATGCTAAAGGCTAATTAGGCTGAGGAGACAGGCTGGGCGGAAGCTCCTGGCCTGAAGCCCCAGAAGTCTACAGAAGTCTCCCTATAGTCAAGGGCGTATATCCGGGGATGAGAAAAACAGAGCGGCAGAGCTGGCTCGCTTCTATGGTAAATCGCAGACAGAAAGAAAACCGAGAGACTCCGAAAAAGAAAGGCCCATTCAGGACGAGTGGTCATGAAACAGATGAGAGTATGTGCCCCCACCTTCCCCTTTCTTCTTACCTCGCCTACACTCTCCTGATACTCAAGATAATTTGTCTCGTCACACAGGCAGAACTTATCACACTGAGCGCTGTTCAGGTTATTGGCTCCGACGCTGTAATTTCAATGCAGTAAATCGAAATGATTGCAGCATATATCGAAAGGCGAGACTTTAGACGTTTAGCTTTAATGGTTTCCGAAATGCGTCAAGGGGGACGTAGCGGGAAAACCTCTGACATGTCGCTGGTCTTGGGACAGGATGGGATTTCTGACTTTTCCACGACTTAATCCCACCTTGTACATCTCCTGGGCCAACTTCTCCTCCGGCCTCTGCCCCTGCTTGTCTGGCTCCGGGCCCTCAGCTCTCAAACAATGGGTTTAGTTAATACAACGATTTATGGACCTGAAAATATATACATCAAACAGGCAGAAAGAAAGCGATTAATGAGACATTACAGCAACCTTAATCCATGGGATCTGAGATAAAAGAAAAACTTTGCGCGCTATAAATCCTCAAATTCTAAAACTATTATAGCTGTTGGAACGAAAGGGGGGCTTAAATTGGAAGGCAGGTCTTTGATTTGGTGAGCGGTAGTATTCAAATCTGAGCTAGGGAAGGTATACTTGGCTTGAACTCTCACAGCAGCTCACTCATGACATGACGGAGGAGGATGAATATAGAGGAACAGGGATTTGTTATCTTAAATCAGTCAGGGGTTGCAGGCAGACTTTTATACAACTATATGAAGATTTATTAGAGGGTCTTTCTACTACTTACTGTAGGGCAGTGCCATTTACTGTTCCGTTTTATCCATCACATGCACAGGCACAAATGTACACACGTAGTATATTTCAGTATTACATCATAACTCAGCTAAAGTACCTTGGCATATGTGGCCGATTCCTCTCGTTATCCGTGTCGGGGGAAACTTAATCTGCGAACACGTGTTTCTGTCGTACCCATTTGAAGGAGAATAAAGCACACCGTCGGGGCTCCCGTCGCTCTTTACAGCGGCCTAGGCTGCTTGAGGCACAGTCTGACGAATCGTCAAGGAACCAGAAAACAAAACAGCACGTCTATCACCAACTGCTATGATGGTGAATCAGACGAACAAGTCTCGGGAGTCCAGGGAGCGTCACTCCCCTCCAAGGGCACCTGGAGAGCCATCAAACATAGCTGGACACACTTGAAGTCAAATAAGCACATGGAAACCCCCCAGTGTGTAAGGTACTAGGTACTTACAGTGTAGTATACTTTGCAGTTTAATGGGTTGAAGAGAGGACTGAAGAATACTCAAAATACTAGAGCAAACCAGACACATTGGTTCCTTCAAGTCTAAGACTAGGGAACCTTCAATCTAGAGATGCCTTGCAAAAAAAAAAAAAAAAGGCTTCCGATCACTAGTCCGCCCTTCGGCGTTATGAGGTGAGAGGAAATGGGGTCCATTTACACTCACTTAGAAGCTCCAGAACGTCCCTTTCCACGTATTCCCGACTGCACAACCCAATAGCACAACACATGTGGCGCTCGCCTTGTGCTAAACATGGTTGAAGGGGAAGACCTCACTCACTCAACGTGCCTTAGATTAGAGGGCATGATGAGACACATACATACAGCTGGCAGCCTTCTAGTCACCCCGTTATTCTAATTAAGAAGAAAGACATAGGGAGAGAAAGACATGGAATAATAATGGGTTCCCCTTTTCGGCCTGAGTGAGTGCAGTTACCTTCTCCTGACCTTCCGCCGCCACCGGCTGCTCCACAACCTCACTGCGCCTTTGCCTTAACCCCCCCGCCCCTCCCTCCATACAGCCATCAAAGTTAACACTGTGGAAAAGCGGAAATGTGAAGGTTAGGCGACCTGATTTGGACCGGTGGTGGATTTTTGTTGGAACCTCATCAAGTGGAGGCCTGTTCAATTCTCCCTTTTACCATCCTGGCCGAGTCTTTCACAGAGGCACGGTTTCTAAAGGTCCAGTGACATCTGAGTTAGTAATTTGGCACATATTTATTGCAGGACACTGGGGTTTAAATCGGGCCGCGCCAGGCTGAGCAGTAACTGGATTCGGGTTCTTTCTCTCTCATCTCAATCCAAAGAAATTCATGTTCATGCTCTGTCTGGATGTGACAACATAGTGTCTTTTGAGCATTTTTAATTTGTGAGGAGGGTGGAAACACTGGATATTTGAAAAAGGACTCAAAATATTTAACTTGGCTCAGGTGAAAAGTTGGTGCATTCATTAAACCAAAATGCAGTACAGTGAAGCAGAGTTTCAAATTTACCACAATCCTGAAATACATTAAAGAGACTCGCATGACTCTCATATCTCCGTCACGTTTTCCGCATCCTTTTCATGTATTTAAGCTATTACTTGTGCGACAGCATAGGAAGGAACCATGGATTTTCTTTTGCTCATTACAAGAAAGATTGTTTAAAAGTTTGTATTTAACGGAATGCATTGCAGGTGAAAATCTGCTTTAAAATTTGTTAAAGATGATTGCAGTGTGAGGAAAAGTACTGAAATATTCAGAAAATTGAATTCAGCTGTAACGGCCAAACTGACGAGATGAAAGGTGTCAGCTCTGTTTTCACAACTGTGCAGTCCGGAGTGAAGTTCTGTGGAAAGACGTGGCAGGAATATTCTTCTTAAAAAGAAAAAACGGCACTCAAGGGCAAAAACCCCAGAAACACTGGAACACATATCACTGTGCTTACTTTTTGCCAGTACAAGTTTAGTTGAATTGTCTTTAATACAAAATGAAGCAGTTACTAAGAATAATGTAAATTCATACACAGCATTTCATTTACAGCAGGAAATTAAAAATATTGTGTACAAATCTGATTCTTATCCAAGAGAGAATCAAGAGGGGTGAAATATGAAGAAGTAAATTAATATATAAAAAGGGAATTTTATGTGACACAAATTAATAAAGAAGGGGTAAAGTGAAGGGTGTTAAAGTCCCTTTAAAAAATATATTACAACTGACTCATATTACCCTTTTTATTAAATGGACAAATCAAATAAATTTGACAGTGGGTGGAGAAGGTGAAATAAACAATATAACCTGAGCTGGACATACAGCTAGTGTATTAAAGGAAATGCCTTTGCCCTGTATAAATACCAAATTATCCAAATAGATATTGGGGGAATAGTTTAACATTGTGACAATATGCTTATTGTTCAAAATAAAAAGAGTTAAACAGTTGATACCACTCTCATGGCTGTACTCAATGTATGGAGTCATGGCCAGAAGTTAATTGGCTTAGCTTAGCTCAGCATAAACACAACATATACCCCTAACCCTAACCCACCATTAAACAACAACAACAACAACAACAATCTAAAGGAAAAATTAAATCAACTGCAACTAAATAAAACTATAGCTTTAGATCTGCTGCCCATTTCTCATCTTTGGACGAAGCCAAGCTTGCAGCCGAGAGCTTTTTCCATTCTTCATGCTAAACTAAACAGATTCAAGCTAATAGCCTCTTGGCTCTAGGTCCATCATAATGTATATGCACAAAACTGGCATCAAACATTTTGTCTCACTATAAGGCAGCAAACTATTCCTTTTTAGTATAAAGTATTGCTTTTTGTCATTCAAGTGTGTGTTCATCAAGGAAACCAGAAGCTACCAGGGCTGTCCCATTAATGATAATAATAATAATGATACAGCCAGGATTAATAACTGGCTGCTGTGAAAATCATTTAGAGAAAACTTTCTGTGTAAAAAATGAGTACGGCTCAAATTAGCAATAAACTTGCTCATAAAGTCTAGGGCAGCTACTTAGCATTGCTTAGAGTTAAAACCTTGGATGTGTGCTGCAGACCTTCTAATAGCAGCCTCGCTGAAGCTCTTTTTTATGTGAATAAAAATAAAGACTCCACCCTAATAAAACACAATTGTGAACATTTTCTTCTAGCACAGCCAAAAGTTTTGTGACATTAAATGACCAAGCTGTTATGTTGGGCACCTTAGTTTGAAGGGGTGGCTTTTTTTTCCAAAACGCTCCTAAATGGAATATATAACACCTAAAAAATGCCTCTGAGTGCTTTTTAAGGGGCCGGTGAAATCCGAACACTTGACAGTGAGTCAAGACGCCGAGACACTATCAGAGTGGAGGACACAGGTAAGATCAGGAGGATGCTTATACAAAAAGCGGACTTCAAAAAATATATTAATTTCTCTTAAATAAAACAACACTCACTGCCCTTCCTTGGGCGTGTACCTGACGATGCTTTGTTTCGAGTAAGAGTCATGGAAGCGTTTTCGAGCGAGGAGCTCCGACCCTATTGCCATTTCTGGAATGACGGCCCAGACAGAGCGAGATTGATGTCCAAGGGCCATATTCTGCACGGAGGCCCGACTGTCGGATCTGGCCAGACCTGGGGAAGACTGTTTTATTGTATGGTGACGCAACAGTCTTGTTTTGTTCCTGTGTATCAGACCCACAACCCCACCACCACAACCCCTCACCAGCAGGTATAGTAAGATTTGTTTTTAAGTCAGAGCCCTTCCCTTTTCACCTTGTACAGTGCATGTGGATCTCAGGAGTGAGTCCAGCTAACCGGCAACCAGTGTGTCTCTGTCTCCACTGTCTTCAGCGCCCCCCGCAGCTCGCCGAAGGCCGTCGAGAGGTCATCGTTGACTATGATCTTCTCAAACAGGTGGCCGTGTTGGACCTCCAGCGTCTGGGCGGTGGTCACCATCTCCTGGAAGTCCTCCTCCTGCAGCATGCGGGACAACATGAAACAGGACACGGGAGGCGAGAGAGACAAAGTGCTTAGATGGTGGGAAAATCAGGGCAGCCTCAGTCAACAGGAGCGGAGATGAATTCTCACACTGTAAACACAAAATAGACGGCCTTGAAGACGCAAATAAACAAAAAGAGGCCCGTGTCAAGCCCTGTATAACCTCCCAGAGGCATGGTACCCACACATGAACCCTGGCACAGACCACAAACTAAAAGCTCCCCATGCACCAACCCAACCTCAAGGAATTTTAATCATTTCCTCACAAGGCCGTCCAATTCACAAAGAAAATAAAGAATTGTCCTCAAAGCAGGGGACGAAAACATACCGGTCATGAAAAGACTGATATGTAACGTGTACATTCTACACAGGATTCTGGGCTATTACATACACACCCCATCAGTTACTTTTTAAATGTTCTAAAACATAAAATAAAATAAAGCAAATATAATTTCATTTATATACAGAAATATAGCTGTATACATATATCTATATATGTATAGATATATACACACATCTATAATTCAGTAGAATGACGTGAGACTCAAAAGTTTACCTACATTCTTCTTAGTGAGTGAGTGTTGTAATAAAAGATCTGATGATTTAAAGGGAAATTCTATTCTTGTTTTATTGTTCTATTCCTCACAGGGTCTGTCTGAATACACCTGTCTAAAAGGCTGCCACATGGAGGTTTGAATAGGGTTTGAGTCTGGGGGGGGGTGAAGAGTTTATGCAGGTCCGTATACAGATCAGCCGTCCGGTGCACAGAATAAAACCACGTGCTAAGTGTGAGGGGGAGCCAAACAACATATTTTGATCAGGGCAGGGGTAAACACGTCGCCTATCTGGGGCGCCTGTATTAATAGAAGGAGCATTCTGAGGCAGGTATCTCTCCCTGGTGGTCCCGTCTGAGGCTTTCAGCCATGTGGGTCCTGGCTGGTCCGGTGCAACAGCGGGGTGATGTGGCTGCACTGATTTAGCCTCGAGTTTTTACTGGAAATGCTCGGCGATGGATTTGGGGACAGATATGTTTTTTTAGAGTTTTCCCCTTTCCGCCTATAATAAAATTATAAATATACACAGATGCACATTCATGCACACGATGTCAAGCGCACACACTGCTCACATTGTGTATGAACAGGACCACGGCCCCGCTAGAGTGCCAATCTTCAGAATATTTGTGGTGGCTTTTCTGCTTTGTGATGGATCTGATCTACTTTACAAATAACACAGTTTTAGGAAAACTTGATGGTTCTCTCAGCTGCGAGAAGGAGCACAGGCTTGGCCTGTAGGAGAGAGGTCTTCATCTGGACCCAAATCCCCCGCAGGTATCCCCCTACCCACCCGTGGGGACTCCCAGATAACCGCTGCATTTTTTCTGTGTGCGTGTTGTCCAAAGATCAGCTTTAGATGGCCACGGGAATTCCTAACCCTAACCCTTATATAAAGACCCCCCCCTACCAAATCATCTCCAGCTCCGGAAGGAAAAAGAAAAAGGGCGCTTCAGTCAGACTGCTCTGCCGAAACAATGAGACCACTGTTTCCTTGGCCGTTATCATTAAAGCAGACCTGTCTCTTGCTGTGCAAGAAATACAGCCGGCGGTGGACAGACTGAGACGTCCTTGCCGACAGCAGATCTTCTTTCAGAGCTTCTATAAGAGCCTCTTTCTGTGTCTTTAACAGCAAACCCAGGAACATGAGCGCAAGACCCCGTTTGTCTTCCATCTGAGTTTTATGGAGGAGCATCTGTACAATTGAGAGAATAGCAAGGGCTAATAAAAGGGGGGGTAGTAACCGCTATGGCCCGCCTTGTTGGTAACCATCTTGTCTGACAGCTAAAGCGTATCCTTCTCTGGATGAAAAAGAATAAGTGAATGGATCTCTGCAAGGTTCCATCACACTTTTTGGGATCCATTTGAACTCTCTTTCAAGGCTATCCCATCATGTCCCTATGCGAGGGGTTTGCTGCTTCTCATTGAACATGAATTATGCCTTATGTGACATGAGGAGCGGTTGCTGATTTGATGGAGTGAGAAGACACTTGAATGGTCAAAATTGGGGCAAATTTCTTTTTTTCATCGTGCAACTTGAGGTCAGCACTTAAGATGCCTTTATTTGTATATGGGTCATGTTTTGGAGGTTGGACTTAGTTAGGTCTCTTTAAGATGCTTACCATCTAGAGGTCAATGAAAAGTATAACTTGAAACTTTAATTGATTGGGCAATTTGGGTTTGGCAGCCAGGCATTTTGCATCTCAAAGTGGGGACTCTAGACCAGTGTTTTTCAACCAGTGTGCAGAGCCTGTCAGGTGTGCCGTGAAAAAAAAATCATTTTTTACATACTGTCACTTCATTGGTGAAAAAAAAAAGAGCCAACTTGTGTGTTTGTGTGTGTGTCATCGCGCTGTTGGTGGTATGAAGGCTCAATACTCCCCTCTGCCTGTGGGTGGCGGTACGCAGCGTAATTAATAGGCAGATTTGCTAAAGCGACAATTTAAAAAAGTGAGATTAAAGGCCGGCGCATGCTTCTGCGTTTGCGTCTGCGTCGTTGCGTCGACGCACTCGTTTCAATTCATGGTTCTGCGTGTGTTGCAGAGCAATTCACCGCCAGAACAACAGGCGGAGTGACGTGTTTTGTTGAAGACGACTAGAGAGTCACGTCTATTTATTTATTTATCATAGACGTTATTGCCCCGTGCATCGCCACTGCTGCTTTTCATCGCGGACACATTTGTCCCGTATTTTCCTCCACAACTTTGTGCACCTGTCGACCGGTGTTACACCCCTACTGGTTTTTCCACCTACTGGTTTCCCTACGCGTGCGTGTTTGTGTTCACTCCACAGCTGCAGATGTGTCCGCCTCAGTTCCCTGATTCGTCACAGATTCACAAACATATTGCTGAAAATCTTCAAAACGCATCACAAATCCATTGCAGCGTTTACGATTGTATAAGTTAGCACCACATCACGGCCACGTATGAAAACATTTACATAAAAAAATATATTAAAAGAAAGATCGGCACAAGCTGGATTCGAACCCGGTGGATCAAAACATTAAAATATCAGTCATGTGGCTGCTCTTAGCAGTGCGCCACGGAGACACACAGCAATCATTTGACCCTTAGTATAATTTATTCATTTCGTTGACGTAGATCAGCATGAAGGAAACCTTTTGGTGTCGTGGATCTAAAACAACTGGTTACCTTGGGCGGGTCTTCCGTGACATCCATCTGTGGTTCCACTGGGTTTGCACTGGGAAACCACCTTTGGAGCAGGACTTCTGCTGTCCCGCATGCTTTCCTTAGAGCTACTTTATTTTGTTTTTCAATGATTTATTTATTGTGACTGTTAAAACACAATTATTTTATAAAATTTCCTTTTGGGAGCTTTATAAGGTATTTGATTCCTAATAGAAGTTTTGCAAGTGTACAATCTGTTTCACTCAATTCCTTCACTTTTTGTGGGGCCATCTCTTGTTCGGAAAGATCGTATGTACGACCTCATGGCGTTTTTATAGGGATGCTGCTTGTTAACTTTAATTGGGTGACAATTAAGAATTGATACATTTCTTTGGATGTGTTCCAAGACCCGCCCAAGGTAACCAGTTGTTTTAGATCCCCTCCACCAGAAGGTTTCCTCCATGCCAATCACTATCTGGTAATATATTAAGACCAGGTCCTGCGTACTGCCCTGTGGCGCAGCACACAGCATGACTAGCATTGTGATGTGTTTGCATTTTGCTGCATGGGTTCGCAACCTGGTCGGTTCGATCTTATAATATATTTTCTAAACTTTGTTTTGTTCGTGTCTGTGGTTTACGTCACGCGATGGCCGTAAGAAAACAATATCCTTTCTTTATCAAAATGTGTCGCTGCAAGGCTGCAGCCTCGTGAAGAAGTAGCGTTGCACATGATTGACATTTTAATGTTTTGATCCACCGGGTTCGAATCCAGCTTGTGCCAATCTTTCTTTTAATATATTTTTTTATGTAAATGTTTTCATACGTGGCCGTGATGTGGTGCTAACTTATACAATCGTAAACGCTGCAATGGATTTGTGATGCGTTTTGAAGATTTTCAGCAATATGTTTGTGAATGTGTGACGAATCAGGGAACTGAGGCGGACACATCTGCAGCTGTGGAGTGAACACAAACACGCACGCGTAGGGAAACCAGTAGATGGAAAAACCAGTAGGGGTGTAACACCGGCAAACCGGCGTTTGCTGCGATCTCCCTCCGTGAATCCAACCCGCTTATACAACCCGCCAAAGACGGCTCGTATAAGCGGTCATATTTACGCATTTCTTCCGACAAAAGTTCTTCAATCTGATCCGTTCTCTCGTAAACATTCTTCGTTTTAATAATGGCGGTATCGGGCTATGAAAGCGAAAATGAGACTCCGTAAAGGACGTAGTTAGCGGACCAATCGCAGCCTGGTGCTCTGCGGGAGGCTTGCGTCGCTTTGGCTCGAAATACGCAAGGACGCAAGGAGGTGTGAAAAGCGACGCAAGGGACAACGCAGAAGCATAAACTAGGCTTAAGAGATACCTTGGCATAAAGCCTGTGCCATCTTGGCATTAGGATGATGTTAAGTTTAATAAAACACAACAAATAGAACACGAGTTTCCCTGATTTCTTAGAGTATATTATGCTCATGCTGAAACTATGTTTAGGATTGATTTTCATCTCATTTCCGGTTGTTGGTGTGCCGTGAGACTTTTTCTGTGTGCCTTGACACAAAACAGGTTGAAAAACACTGCTCTAGACTGACGAGGAAAGTAAGCAGGAGGTGGCGAATAGAAATTAAACTTCACATGCTACGTTATTTGCATATGTTCCCAATAAAGAAAGACATTTACACCTGCTCTCACACCCCATCACCACGGGCCCCTTTCTTCACTCATTCTGTGGCTACAGATTAATCTCCTTTCTCTGCAAAAGCCTCTTCTCTTCCTCGCCCCCCTCCCCTGCTTTATCATTCTCCCCCCCCCATCCCACTTCGTGGTGTCCTGCCAGGACCTCCACAGTGTGTCGCTGACCAAAATCTTGGCCGTGGCGCAGCCTGCGGCGAGCAAGTCACGCGCTCGCCGCAGGCTGCATGGAGCTGGGAAAACCATCATTCACCATCAGCCCCCTCCCTTCCACACCCGGCTGCAGCACCGAGCGGTGGTTAATTGGTTTCATCTGGGTCGGGGCTGTGATGGAGGTGTGTTGGGAATGACTTCACCACACACACACACACACACACACACACACACACACACACACACACACACACACACACACACACACACACACACACACACACACACACACACACACACACACACACACACACACACACACACACACACACACACACACACACAGAGAGAGAGAGAAGGTCCAGATAGTGTTGCAGATTTCTTCTTGCCGTTGAATTGAGGTTGAACATCATTTGTATTTGCCATTTCAAATGTTTAAAATCCCTTTTCATCCCAGCTCAATGTATATCCTATTATCTGTATCCTGTTGTAGCCATCTATTTTACCCACAGCCGTGATTAAACTTTCATTTAACTTAATCTCATCTGATTCAATAGATTCCCTTTGATTGGAGTTATTCAAACCACTTCAAAGCACCAGATGGGTCAGATTTACGTTATCGCATTAAGACAGACAACACGTCACGTTGATGGATGTCAGCCTTGTTGTAAAAGATAAACGTTCCCCTCAGGTCCTCTTACCGTGAATGGCTTGGCAGAGCCCTTATCATCCTTGCCTGATATGATTTTGGCGTTCATTCTGGTCTCCCTCAGTCTTTCGATCGCTGGAGGCTTCACCAACACGACAAAGGGCTTAAACTCTGCCGTCCGCAGGAGCTTTATGGTCTGGAATTAGATATGATGGTCTTTTTAAACATACAGTACATTCAGGCTTTATCTTATTAGATCGGACAGTAATCTAAAAAAAATAAAAGATTGTTTTTATATAGAGAAGAGTTGCATATTTCTTGGTAACACTCTGTAAATACTGTACAGCCAGAAAAAAAACATGTCTAGGCTCTGAATGATGTGTGAACATTCAGAATAAAGATAGGACTAATTAAACTGAGATTTCTAGCTTGATAAAGAAAAAAATAGACAAAATGAACTATTAATCAATTATTTGTGGTAAGTTTTCTGACATGTTATTTTGAAATATGTAAATAAGACAACGCCAAACTTTAAGAGAAATATCCAGATATAAATAGAAAAAACTTCTCAGTTCCATTCCACTAGTCGGAAAGAATTGCCCAAAAACGCAAAGTTGAGCAGAGCATGAAAAACAATAATTTTGCCTGAGGTGTCTCTCCTTAAAAGCCAACCAGCGGTCTCTGCTTGCAAAGCACATGTGGTACATTTCTGTCCACATCTGTCTTCTTGCCTCTCATTCCTGGTGACAGTTGCACAACACGCCACCGCCCATCTGGTTCTCAAGAGGTGGGACAGAGGTCAGAGCTGGTTAGTAGTGGCATCTGGCGGCGTTTGGGCTCTGCCATGCTTTTGGAAATCAGGGTTTCCCACCGTGCTAACAGGTGGGGGTGGGAGTAAGAGAAGGGTATGAATCCTGCAACTGATAGGAGAATGCGCTGGCAGGCCGAAGCAGTGGCAGCACTGAGAGGCATTCATCTCCAGACAGGTCGGCAATGGGAGCAATGGGAGTTTTAACATGCTGGGACACTGGCAGTGATGCGGCCCATGAGGCGTGTCGTCGAGGTAACAACTGTATACCAAAAGCAGAAACAAACGGCACATACACACAAACACCCACATGAGCTTCCACAGGCTCGTTCTTCCAGACGTTAGCGGGGGCGCAGGGGCCGAGTCTCCGCTTTGAGAACCTGCCCAGCTAATCTGTATAATGGTGCGTTTGTGGCCATCATTATCCACTGAGCAAAAACAAACAGGGAGGAGCTGGTGGGGCCAAGGACTGGGGCCACACGGGCCACGGCGCTGGACTAATCGTTGCTCAGGGTGGGGAGGGAGGATTTGCCGGGCCGTGACTAAGCGACAAGCCGGGCCATTTTTTTGAGGGGTTTGAGCGCTGCTACACCCAAGACACATACGCCTACGAGGAAATCTTCAAATAGGGAAAATTAGAGGTAAAAAAGCGGCCAAGGCCTCAGGAAAGCGAGAGGGATTTGTTTCTCAGGCCCAAAATGGCTACACACAAACGCAGGAAAGCGAGGGCTGATGGTCGGCGAGATGGAGAGGACGAGGTTTGCACCACTCACGTGAGGCTGGACGTCCAGCAGGCACACTTTGTTCCTGGAGAGGACGGAGCGGACGGAGTCTATAGCCGTTCCATAGTAGTTTCCTTTGTACTCTCCGTACTCGATGAACCTGCGACGAGAGAGAGGAGAGGGGTTCAAGAAAACACAATCTTTTGGAGCAGGGCGCAGTTATCGCCACATAAATGACCCTTCTGGGAGGGACATCAGAGTGTATTAGACATCATTATTATTAGACATGTATTTTCCTCTTTTTGTATTAGACCTCTTGTCTGCTGACAAGATCTGAAGATCTTCATCCACCCGCAGCGTTTTCATATGCCATGCAACACACCTTTTTGTTCCATACCTAGCAAACACGTTTCCACTAGATACTCTTTTCCCTTTTGACACCAGCCTTCATGAGTAAGACAAAAAGGACAAAAGAACTCCCCAAAAAACACTAGTTTATTTTTAGCTGAAATGAAGGAGTGAAAAAAGGCAGAGTAACAGTGTGGAAAGAATGTGAAGCTAATAGTGCGTCATGCATGCAGGCTGCCTATGACGGCCAGAGGGATCGCCACCGTCCGACTGATGGCATGTAAAGAGAACGTTTATGGTAATTGCCCATGTAAGAAAGTTTTACTCAGCTTTTTTAAAGAAAGGAGGCTCTATAAGAAATTTGGCTTATGGGAAATTCATTAAAGAGCGTACAGTAGCCTGTCAGAGGGGAAGAAGGGAGCTTTGCCTATTTGAGGGAATATGCATTCTGCTGCCATTTTGCACAGAACACGGCTTCCCTCGGGAAAAGTCCATCGAGCTGAACGCAAGTTGTTGCGGTCGTCCTCACTGTGGACACTCTTCTGTTCTTCCTTTTTTCTCTATCCCTGCATTGTTTCTGTTGCAGGCATAACTCAAACGAGTTCACCTCGTCTCCTGTGCTGCCTTGTAATTTAGGCATTCCGCCCCACATCACAGCTCCTCCGACTCCACCAAAAAACATTGCATGTCTCCGACCGACACCGCAACACTGACTAAATATACAAGCACCCCACCTTCCCCCTTCTTCCCTCTGCATGCTCTGACACTCTATATCCCCTTGCCACCACAGGCTTCCCCCTTCGTGTCACACTTGTGTGTGTGCGTGCAGAAATGTTTTGCATGTGCACCATTACAGTATGTCAGCTGCAGATCATGTGGGAGCGGCAGAAAGGCATCAATCATTCTCACGGTTAGGACCTGCAGTCCACGTTGTCGGCCGCAAATGTCAAGTGGCTTAGAGAGAGAGAGAGAAAGGGAGTGGGAGCGCCCAATAGAGGAGGAGGAAGCAGAGACAGGAGATGTGGGGACAACTGCCTGGAGATCGGTACCGACACGTTGCTCAACCACATCCCCGCCATCGCCAGCGGAGGCTCGGTCAGAGAGACATGCACCCTCTCCATTCAGACCGAGGGATTCTGCCGTTTCTGTCAGCCTCTCAAATCCCATTTGTGACATGTGAAGACCTGCTCCTTTTCTATGTTATAGAACAGTCTATATTGTTGTAGGGAATGTAAAGAAAAATGAAAACTCGAAGATTCGTGTCCTGCTGAAAATGCGTTGGAATGCTAACGTATAAAAACGTATAAAAAAGATATAAAAAAGCTGAAATAGACACAGCTTTCTCCTAAGCTTCATGGTTAAGGTACAGATAATCATTGAGGCTTTTATTTGAAATGATGGACCTGGGTGAGGGGGGGTTGGGAGACAGATGATTGTCTTTAATTTAATGGGGACAGCTGAGCTTTAGAAATATGAGAATACAACAACCAGCTTCCAGAGACAGATATTCCCATTAGGAACATTTGTGGCCCTATGTCTGAATGGGGGTATCTAAAAGTGTATCTAAAAGTTGACTAGTTTGTTGAATCGGTCTTCTGTTATTTTTTTCTAGCTGTGCCTACTTGTTATTGTGGATATCCGTCTCAAAGAGGTGTTTGGAGATGAAGTGGTACTCGACGCCGTCGCTCTCCTGGTTCCTCTTGGCCCGACTGGTGTCTGAGAGAGAGAGAGAGAGAGAGAGAGAGAGAGAGAGAGAGAGAGAGAGAGAGAGAGAGAGAGAGAGAGAGAGAGAGAGAGAGAGAGAGAGATTTATTTTTCATTGCGTGTCCCATAAACCCATATGGGGATTACCTCAAACCCAGACTGTACCCAGCATCTGAACCGAGCCCCTTGTTAACACGGCTGAAACGCAGCACGCTCCGCCGTGCCAACCCTTGTACATATTATTGTGTAACAGCACTATAAAAACACACAACCTGTAGCGCTGCGCCACTAAACTCAGACACTTAAGTGACATTCGGCCGTGGAGGTTTTCACGGCGTCTTATTAAACTTGTCTCTTGTAGCAACAGAAGCCGTGGCGTTAGCCGCTTTGAGGTAATTGAGCTGGAGAGCTCTCATTAACATCAAGTCTCCACATTTACTCGGCCGTTAACCACAAAGCGTCGCTGTAAAAAGCAGGCGGCACGTGGGGAGCGGGCGCCGTGAGCGGGCCGCACCATAGGACTTGCGAGGGGCATCGGGCTTCTTTTGGGTAAGTGCTTCGAAAACATTGGAGGAGAGAGCGTGTGCCCCTTCGAGAAAAAACTATTAAACCTTCTAGCTGCCAGGCCTTTGTCATCAAGTGTCGAGACCGCGCCCCGTTAGCGGACCAGGGCCTTCCCTTTCGGGCCTTTAGAGTGATCTACAGGCTTCCAATGGGGTGATTTATCCAACGTCACTCGCTTGAGAGGGAAAGGCGGCCGTAAATCCAGCTTCGGTCAGTGATCAGTGGCTTTCCGTCGGTATGGCAGAAAAACACGAGGACAGCGGCGAAACTCACTTTGTCATTAGATAACATATATTTAGATTCCAGCGCCGTCATCCACCAATTCCTCATGCTGCGGCACATAGAATAATTATAGTGCAACAAAAGAATATGCATCCGTTAAATCCTAAACAGTGTAAAATACTTGGATTGGGTTCAAGATGCTTAACCTGCCGATCTAATGGTTTACTGCAACGCTCCCTATGCTTCTAAAATGGTTCACATTTGACATTCTCATCGGGGCCGCAAGGCGGTGGTGTCCAAAAGCACCAAAAAAAAGAGAGAGGGGGGGTACGCCTTAATTCAAAAACAAAGGCAAGTGTTAAACGCATCCATGTGCCCGTTGGCAGCAATCAACCATGAGAAGAAAAAAGAAATGAGGGAGACCAGATACTTTCCGACTCTCCTTCCTCTCAATGTGAGCCACACAGAGCGACTTCTATGTGGGTCAGAATCAGGCTGTCTGGGCTCTATTAAATGCAGCATCACAGGTCACATTTGAGAACAATTAACATGCCTCGTTGGGGAAAAAGATGAAGAAAGAAAGGCCCCGCCGATGGGATTTTAATACCAGGGGACAACATTTTTAAAGTGTCAGACTTTGACTTGGAAACATCACTTATGCAACACGGCGTCCAATAAACTCAGCAATTAATGTGTGCACCGCTCGTATTTCCTCAAATCCCCCAGATGGTGGCTATGCAATTACTAATGCCACTGCCCTGCAAAAATGTATAAATCAAAACGATTTATTCATCCCAATGTGCTGGCATCGGGACGCCTCGGAACTGAAAAAAAGAAGAAATTAAATAATAAAACTTTGGAAGGGTTTTTAGAGCCAGTCTACTTGGATGCCGTTCATGACGGCAGGCTGTCTTTAGGTCCTTAAATGGAGAAACAAAGTGAGGAGGAAGAGGAGGAAAGAGACAGCGAGACACAGGAGACAAGAAAGTGATAAATAAGCCCAGAGAGAGAGCGGGTAGCTCAGTGCCAATTCATGAGGCAGCGGAATGGCATGTGCTAGAAAAAAGCGCTTTCCTCGGTCATTCGGAGCTTGTCAGGGCGACTGTGAAAAGCTGACACGGATTACTCACTGCCAGACAGCTCGCCTGTGTGTGTGTGTGTGTGTGTGTGTGTGTCTCTGACAGCACCATCATCTCTCAAACAGCAGCAGCATTCTCACACTGTGTGAAAAATAAACTGGAACAAGTTAAGCTAAACATCCTTCACCTAAAGTGATTATTTGAGATTTGGTTTCCAGCATGTTTGTGTACAACAAGCTTCCTGGGCACAAATGGACTGATACAAGGAAGAGAAAAGGCGATTCATCCCCATGACAACACAGCTGGAGTGCTGTTGTTTAAAGAGGCTCATTCCTCCATAGAACAGGAGCTGGCCAGCACTACCGCTTTGTCATCCTCATTCCATCTTTGTGAGCTTCTCCATGTTTGAAGTGAGCCTTCTGGAGGTCACATCAGTTACGCTGAGAGCTTGCCTACCGCGGGAAACATTTACGCAACATAGAGATGTTGTTTGGTCGTGGTGGCCCTGTGGTTAAGAAGTGCAATGCCTGTATTCCACTTTGTCCACGTCTTAGTCCTCTCTGTCCTAATGTTCCCTGCCTTTAGCAGGGCTCGCTGTCACAATAAAAGGAACACTTGAAATGAAATATTAAAAAATATCTCTAAACTTCTCTGATCTAAAGATATTTTATACATATAAACACATTTTGACTCATAGTGTAGAGATTTTATATATATATATATATATGATAGATAGATAGATAATTAAATGTATTATTATTATTTCATATATTCTGTATATTATACAGAATGAACAATGTAAAAGATGTACAATACATTCAATTCCTATAACAGAAATGATTCAAATAATTGCGAGTAGTAAGCCGGGACGACAGGACCACTGCAGGAACATCCAGCATCATAGCAGTGACACACATGCACAAACAGGGCTTGATCCAACCAGGGTGGAGGGAACTTACGTGGGACGGTCACACTGAAGTGCTGAGGGTCTGAGATCAACAGTTTCCTCTTGAGTTCATTCAGGCCAACTCCTGGGGGTCCTGCAAAGGCACAGACATATCAGTAATGGGACAGCAGTCACAGAACCCATCAGCACCCTCTCTCATGAGAACACAGACCATCATGGTATATCAATGTGTAGTCTCAAACCCAAGCCAGTATACAGTTACCCTGATGACATCACTTGTTTAACTGAACTGATGGGTGTGTCTCTTCAAATACAAGTAAACAATACTTTACAATAATACACCCGCTCCTGACCCAACACGAAGTATTGCTAGTATTATTATTCCTATGAGAGCTATAGTTACATGTCCAACACTAGCTTGTTTGATATTGCATTGTATTTAATCATTATGCTTTCATGCTGTATGTATTTTCCTCTTTTTCATAACATTCTACTAATCATGACCATTAAAAAGATAATCTTTTATCTTAAAAAGATAATCTTTTTAATGATCAAAATCAATCCAGTCAAAGCCTTTAGGGGAAAGATCATTGTTTTGATGTGAAAAAGCAACAGGACTTCTGGAGTTACAGGTTGTTTTTTAACAAGGTTGTCTCATTGTAGTTTGGAACATTACACTTCCATTACAGGTCCACAAGAGAGGTACACAAGAGAGGTAGACAGCACAGGAACACAGCAGGGTTACACAGCAGAAGTACTTAAGCTTCTTTCCAGTATTATTCAGGACTTTCCAGAGAGAGGGGGAGGCGAGAGAGGTTATTGGAATATTGACAATGGAGTCATGTGTGGAACTTTAACATTCACTAACACAAAAATGATGGCACACTGCACTTGTTTTTGGTGGAAGTTACTGAATTGATAACCACATGTTCCCTTCGTCTCCAAAAGACGTTACGCTGGAGCTACGTCATTCAATTCACACCGACTGGCATAAACGGGCAAGAAATCAGTGTTGGAGCGACGAGTGCGTGGCTCGCCGTTTTCGGTGTTTCACCGCGGCTCCGGCATGTTGAGACGGCGAGAGAGACTGCTCTGGATTCCTCACATGCTTGACGTTCTGGGCAGGGACTACAATCGCCCTCCAAACCCGGTTTGGATATTGGTTTCTCTAGGCAAATATGTTTAGCAGGCCTCTTCCTCAAAATTTACGTCTGGACCCTTCACGCGGTCTGGGTCCCGTTGTGTGACTGCTGTGAGAGTTAAAAACTGTTTCCTCAGCGCGCTCGCACTGTGAATCCAAAAAGGGGGGGGGGGGGGAGAGAAAAAACAATACCCAGAACCTCCTCGGAGCGACGGCGCAAAGTATTCTGTGGTTACCGTCGCTCATAAACAAGCACAAGACAAAAATCAATCTTAGCTGGAAAGATGTTTTTCAGTAAGGGGAAAACACATTTCGTGTTTGGTTTGGGGGAATGCGGCAGGTGCCATTTGAAGATGCTTGCAGACCCGATCTTTTTGTAGGTGCTGCAGGTGGTGGCGCGTGATAAAGGAGGCTCCTTTCATGAGGCATATCGCAGCGCCCGTCGTGGCAGGTCTCAAGCCCCCACGCAGGCTGGTTGCTTGAATCCCAATGCGGACATCAGGGCCCAGGGGGAACCAACTGGGGGGCTGCTTCTGCCCGTCTCTGCTCCACTGCTCCCCCTTTCACCCCTTACATCGCCCTACATAAGAAAACCTTAAATGGTGATTGAGGCGTATTGCAGCTGTGCCACTGCCTGCCCAAGTGACCCACCACAGGGTCTTTTAAAAGCGTAATCTGTGCCCTGTGCCACCTCTTTGTGTATTGTTTGTCTTTTACAATGCTCCAACACAACAGCTTACATCATAAATCTGAATGCCACAATAAAAATTTAAAAAGAATTGTCTGGGCGTTCGCCATGTCCAACACTAGCTTGTTTGATATTGCATTGTATTTAATCATTATGCTTTCATGCTGTATTTTGTTTTTGTGCTTCTCTCCTTGTTTGTCTCTCGCTCCCAGCCTTGCACATTGCCATGCCAGTAAAAGTGTCCGATTTTATTACCACACTCATTAGTTTGTTTTGATAACGAGTGTGATACCTTCCAGGCCATCGCATGCAGCGAGGCCAGGTCCTTGCTCTTTCTGCACCGCCTCGCATCCAGGGCGGGGGTTACAGGCTCGCTCCGCGCACGCACACGCACACGCACACGCGCGCACACACACACACACAGCGGTAACTGAGGTGCTGTAAGATTAGAGTATCAAGTTTCAGAAGAACTGTAGAATCCGCACCGCATTTTGTCACGTCAAAAAATCTGATATCATTCAACAACCTAGAGTGGTTGATTCAAATTATGCATGCAGTATGTAAAAACATAAATTTGTACTGGCCGTCGGATTTAAAATGTATAAAAAAAACACAGATTAGCATTTTGATTTATCTTTGAAACCGATCTCAGACGCTGTGTGAGAGGTGGGCAGCATTCATTGGGTTCTGTGGACCTGTGCTTCCACATCAATAAAGCACCGCCTTCAGGCATTTGTGTGAAGCTTCAGGAGAGGAGGGGGGGGATTTGGTATACAAATAATGGGGGTTGTGGTAGAAAAGAGATGACAAATGTACACGGTTGAGGTCGTGTGGAGGGTCGTGTCCCGTCAATAAAGCAGTGTTAGAGACTCCACCACCGCCCCCACTCACTGCTTAGCTTTTCCACATCTTCCACAAGTCCGTAGATAAGCTGGGGGGAGACATGCAAACTCCACAAAGGAGGGCCACCGGATCCAGCAGAGACTCCGGGACCCTCTTGCCCCTACACCGGCGTGCAGACCTTCTCAACAAATCAACTTGCTTTAAAAGATTAAATGAATAGAGAACATGTGCGCTTATGTTGAGAAATAGCGTTTGTCGCCCCTGAACAGAAAGGGGAAAGAACACTTACAGAGTAACCTTTGGAGGGAAAATATTTTAGATAATAAAAATCAAGAGAGTCCAGAGAGAGGAGAAAGGAGAGGGACGCAAGGCAACATTAAGCAGATCTTTCCATGGCCCTCCGCTTCATTACGTCTGAAATTGTCCATGTAGGTTGTCCTCCAAATTGTGGACGTTAATTGAAAATATTTACATTAGTGTGACAGGTGGGAGAGCTTTGGCGTCCGGCTAATTTGCAACACGCTTGATGAAGTCCATGCTGCACGTGAACCAAGGAGCACAACTCTGCAGAGAGCATGCGTGAGAACAAGAAATAAAACCAGCCAGTGGTGCTGATTCCCAGAGTGACCTTATAAAATGTTTAAAAAGTAGCATCACTGGGGTAGAAATTTGAGCGCACCTCTTCCCTTGATCAATGGAAATCCCCCTGGAAATATAAAGGAAAGCAGTGACATGCTGGCTTTTTAGATTCTTTGATGTAGTCCAACCCTCTACTCACCCACTAGGACCGCCAGCCTGTGCTTGGCTCCACTCGGCCTCCGGTATGTGGTGACCTCCTCGTACGTGGGCAAGTCGGCTGTGTCGTATATTTCGCTCTTCTTGCACTCGTACATGGACTTGTTAGTCTTCTTGTCCCTCCTGCTCAGACGGAAGCTCCTCCTGAACCCAGCTGCAGGTGAGAATAAAAAAGGGAGGGAGGAGGCAGAAAAGAGCAGAGTTAATCTCAAATATACCTGACCGACTGTATGGCTCAGCGTTTTATCTCTGCTGTAAGTGAAACACAAAAAGCGAGACAAAGCCGTGTCCCTGGATATCGCACTCAAATCCCTAATTCACATTCTCCCCTGGTGACGTGTAGAGGATCTGAATTTTCTTCTTTTTCTTCATCCACATTTCTCAGAGACTGCAGAGAGGTTTTAAGGCTTTCAATGTTCGCAGATGCTGCATATAAAAATGCTGCCTTAATAAAAATCTTGAAACTCCCGAACGGAAGACATCTAAATAAGCTACTTCTGCGTACTCCCAAGGCCTGTTTGCAGCGTTCTCTTTCATTATTCCAACAATTAAATCGGTAATGACTGAACTTGAAAATACTATAAAGGTGCTATATCAAATGATCAGACCCTGAAACGGCCCTTGATGCCCGCACTTGTAATACTTTCCACAATATCTTCAAAACCACGCTGTGCAGAGAGGGAGAGATCAAGAAAGAGGGAGCGAGAGAGCTATGCATTCTTCTCCGCCTTCTGCCTGTTCATTTCCAAGTGGTCCCTTAATAACGGATACCGCTACGGATCACTACTGAGTTACAAATGAAACACACTGTAAGTCATTGGAGCAGACTAATGGAGCTGGCGTATACATATGTACCGCATATAGTGTTACACCGAACATTCAGGGGCAGACTTTGTTCCACTGTGGGCAAGTTGCGGCTTGCATCGTCTGTGCCATTCCTACTGCGGCTCATCCACTCATTCAGCACCCTTACCCCCACCTCGCCGCCCGATCCTACCAGCGTACCCCTGCCCGCGGAGAGTCAGTGTCCCACAGTGGAAAATACACACCGCTCATTTGCATTTCTCCTGTGAAGACATCAAACTTTCTCAACAAGCTGTCTGGTCAGCCATACGTTATAAACTCTCCTGGTTAATTTGGCTTTAGGCAGTACCGTGATAGCTCCTGTCTGCGATCCCATTTGCCTCCGGACCAAGGACAACCTCCTCTACTTTCTGCAGGTGCCGGAAGCTATTCGGTTATAAATCGTCGGCCCTCAGCATAAGGATGGCCCTTAGTAATCTAGTGTCTCATAAACCTCTACAGACAGCTCCGTACAAATAATGGGCGGAGAGTTCTCCCGCCTTCTCCTTAAGCGCTGCCTCACAAATCAAAGCGCCCTATCCCTCGCCAAAACCCTCCCGACCCCCACCCAACAACAGCCTCATCTTTGGCTCAACTCCATTAAACAGAAGGGAATGGGGGTTGATTTGAGTTAAGGAACGAGTCCCAAACAAACGCAGACATGTGATGGAAAGCCTCGGCTGTGTTGGGACACCGGCCCGCTTGCCAAAGGAGGATCCAGAATCATCCAAGCACAAGGCTTAAGCCCGCTCACGCACACTTCTAACGGTGTGCATAAGGCCTGTGATTGGGTAACTTCCAAAACTATAACACACACCATCTTTCACACACACACACACACACACACACACACACACACACACACACACACACACACACACACATTGATTCAAATTCCTTTCATCAAAACAGAAACATGCAATAAGTTGGGGGGGAAGTGACTAAGCACACACACACAGACAGAGCTTGGAAGTCACCAGCAGTCCTTCAAGCCCATTTTCCAGAGTGATAATATCTAACAGCCACGTAGGAGATTTTCAGTATGTGCGTAAAGAAAGCGCCCCGTAGGTTTCTGCAAACTGCCCACTCCGACAGCATTGTGCTGTGTGGTGCTGCGGACCCACATCTGTGAAAGCCAAATGGCTGCTTAAAAAAATAAAATAAAATAAAAAGACTGCGCCACAAGACAAATGCTCATAAAAAAATAACAGCAGACTCAAAGATGATTTGAGTGGTACATTTGCATTCAGACATCTGAAAGAAGAGAACAGAACCAGCATCAGGTCCTCCAGACATCATGCGTAGGCGATCAGCGAGATGACAGGACAGAAGAAAAGAAGAACAAAAAAAACGACATTTCCCCCTCCAATCAAACTTAATTTAGTGCAGGGAGGCAGAAACAAAACATGCAGTGTAGCATAGAGGAACGGGCTCTAGTGAAACCACCTGTTGCGAGGCCCCGGTGCTGTGAGGGCTGCCGCCAGAGGCCCATGGCCCATGTACAGGAGACTGCGCAGACAGCTCCAGTGCTATCCGGGGTCTCCCGCCAACGGGGGCCCTCTCTCTTCTCTGAACTAATAGAGACGACATCTATGGCATCTACCGCGCGTGGCAGCTGGAGATTAAGTAAGCGTTATGGCGGTGGCTCGGCGCCGCATGCTGCGGTTTGACGCTGTTAAGACTCCTGGGTACCAAATGTGGGAAGCATTACAGACTCCCTCGGCCCCACTACGCATGCCCACCGCCAGCTTGGCTGGAGGGAATGAGGAGGGCTCATGGTGGGCAGGACAAAGATGCTTTCCACATCGTCAGCTGTTATTAGCCCAGCCCTGAGTCAAGGGAATGGGGAGGGTTGCTGCTTGTAATGACATTGTCCAAAAAGGAACAATTTCAAAACACATCAGATCTCAATGTGCAAAAAAAATCATGTTGGATACGGATATAGACAGTTTCATGTCTTAGGAACAAAAGGATGGACATATCTTGATATCTTGATGAAAAGTTTCAGGCGACAAAGGGTTTCATTTTATAAACACCCCCAAAACCAAAGTGAAAAAATAATGTGGCAGGCTCGTCCATTTTGTCAAAATTCAATGTCTCCAACTAAAAATGCTTCTCAATATCTTGTGTGGCCACACATGGTCGTATGCAGGCTTGAAAACCTATCGGCATGCTCCTAATGAGACAACGGATGGCGTCTCTGCCAGATCGGTCTAAGGACATCAGTGAGCTCCTGTCCAAGTCCAAGGAGCAACTTGGCGGCATCTGATGAAACATAATGTCCCAGATGTGTTCTAGCGGGTTTAGGGTCAGGTGATTGTGATGACCATTGGTATCAATTCCTTATCCTACACGTACTGCCTGCATGCTCTTGCCACATGCAGCATTGTGCATCAGGAGGAACCCAGAACCTACTGAACCATGGGTTCAAGGATTTCATCCTGATACCTAATCCCGATACCTGTGTGTCCCTCCATGGATATGCCTCCCCAGACCATCACTGCCCCAGCACCATATCACTCATGCTGAACAATGTTGCAGACAGCATAGCGTTCTCCTTGGGCACACTACAGGATGTCGCGCCCTGAGGCCACCCTCTTGAAGTCTGTTTCTGATTGTTTGGGCAGAGACATTCAAAGCAACGGGCTGCTGAAGGTCATTTTGTAGGGCTTGGGCACTGCTCAACCTGATCCTCCTTGCACAAAGCAGCAGATATTGGTCCTATTGATGGGTTGAAGACCTTGTACAGCCCTGTCCAGCTCTCCCAGAGTAACTGCCTGTGTCCTGGAATCTCCTCCATGTTCTGGAGATTGTGCTGGCAGACCCATCAAATCGCCTTGCAACGACACGCATGGTGATGATGTGCCATCCTTGAAGAGTTGGACTATATGTACTGAGGGAAAAGGGCATGAAAATGTAAAAATAGCAGAGATGACAGGAATGCCGTGACAAGAGGAGAATTCTGAAGAAAGCAAGTGAAAAGAAGGAAGGGGACGTACACAGACAGACAGGCGGGTGTCCTTGAAATGATCCCTACGCACAACTGTTCACAGCCATCTGTGAAAGGGATTTTGGTAATGTTGTAAAGTGGGCTCCATGGCTGATCTCAGAATATTTGATGGTATCAAAGGTCTAACTGTTTCTGGGACAGTGTATACATAAAGTACATGACCCAACACGCGCATTTTAAGGAAGTTTCAATCACCCAGAAGGCAAAAGGTTTGTAGGTCTGTCAGTCGAACTGTACGTGTAGCAGTCCAGGGTGGTGAACCCATTAGAGTGTTATCTGGGGGGAACACATTTTGGGAGTAGTTTCCACAGCCCCCGCACTAAGCATTTGGAAAGTGGTACCCGACCCAAGTGTTATGGACTTACACGGTGGAACAGCACTCTAGACCTTTGGCTGCAAAATGTCCATTTGTGTCAAATGCTATTTGTTTTTCCCCTCCGTCTTATCCCACAGCTCTTTGGGCTGAGGAATGTCTTGTCTCAAAACGATCCCTGATGCTGTATGTGTTGGCAAAAAAAACTATACACACTTACTTTTGGTTTTACAGGGGTCCTTGAAGCCACGATCAACATGCTAAAAGGTTCCTCTGAGGGTCAAAAATACTGTAATGCCTGCTTTCCTGTTTGCCTCATCAGTCTAATGTTGAGATGGGGAAGATGCTCAAATACAAAGTCACGCTCAAGGATATTCAATGTCCCTTTGTAGGCTCTTTAAACTCCAATAATCGGTTGCTAGAGATTTTTTTCGTACCTAAACTTGAGTATCAGCCAAACACAGTACCGATTCAATACCAATAACGATACCACTACAAAACACTGTAAATCATAAAAACTAATTGAATATAGAGAAGCAATGTGATAGGACATTATTTAATCATCTAATTTGCCCAATTATAACCTAATTGCTGACATTTTTATTTTCACTTTCACCTGCACTATTGGTGCTGCGCTTGAGCCAACGAGAAAAGTTCTCATTTCAGTTCAGGTGCCTGAACCAGCATTTTAGGCTGTATTGGAGGAATTTCCAAAATTGGTATTGGAAAATGGTGCAATTGGTGATTAAAGAACCGTTCCACGTCGATCGTAAATAAGGTGTTGAGACACAGATGGGGGAAAAAATGGACTAACAAATCTAACTATGAACCTGCAGCCTGATGAACTCTTTCCCTATAACTTGGACATAATTGGAATGAGAGGGGCTGATGGATATTCCAGCCCTGGATCTTTCAGCTTTAACTGATTTGGAGCTACTTGCTTGCCCTTCATCCGTCCATCTTTTTTTTGTGCGGGTGACTATTGAGATCATGGTAATGATGCGTCATCGCGCATATGCCTTCTTGTCACAGTGCAAGTGTTTGGACTCGAGCAGAGTGCACCTACAGGTCACTGGAAAAGAAATGTCTTTATAAGTCTTCTACACAAAAAAATATGCCAAACTGCTCTTTAATGATCCGTCCAGTATCTCAAGTCTCAAGACACTGCCTTCTAGAAAGGGCTGATAAGAAGACATCATGGGACGCAGTTTTCCTACTCCTCTGATTTTATTCTCTAGTTCTTGTGGCTCTAAAATCGATCAACATCTGAGAACAAAGGAATCTGCTCGCCCCCCTTCATTGGTGCTCCAGAATCGCTTTTGGCTGAGGACCTTACAGACGTTGCATCACTAAGAGAGGCATGAAGGGAAAAGGAACCAAAAATGAAGGACAACAACGGCCTACCCCCTCCCACCACCTCTTTTATTTCCCAATGAAACCTCAGTAGCATTGCAAAAGCATCTGTAAGTTCTAGGATTTCAAACCTTTAGGGCCGAGCCAACTCAAAATCACACAACCACATCCAACAGGCTGAAAAGCCATGCAGCAAATACTTGCATACACAAGATGTTATTATATCTTACACATTTTTTTCTCTTCTCTTCCTCCTGAGGTTCTGATTTTAGTTAAACCTCGTTCTGGGCTGCTGGAGTTAAAAAAATGCTGCTAACTAGCTAGAGCGCTGGGTGTTGTTTGGGTACCGAAGAGGAATAAGAGGTGCTGAGGTCATTGACCTCGTGGAAGAGGCAAGACAGAGAGGAGAGGGAAAAAAAGACTGTTTTTTGGCATGGCTCGGCTATGGGAAGTGACCCTGCTCAAACTCACAATGTTATAAACGTATTTATAAACTTGCGCATGCACTGGACATCATGTTAAATCTGGAGTCTGAACAGTGTAGTGTGCAACTTAAATCTCTTAATATAGACCAAAGGGGACACAGAGAGGGAGACGCAGAGAGATATAGAGACAAAAAAGACCAAAGAAATAAGGCCGATGGGCAGACATACGATTTGTGTACGGGCCAACTAGGACGGCCTGTGGTCCCCCAGAGGGACGATACCTTATGATTTGTCGCGAAAGCGACAGTGGTAATAAAATCAGGATTTCTGTACAAGACACAGAATTGGAAGCAGCTGCAAAACCAAATCGGCCCTCAGTAATTGTCATTAACCAGAACCACATCAACGATGCCGGTGCAGAGCGTGCACAAACGAGGCGTCCTTTCAAGCCAAACCCATCCAGAGCCACTCTCAAAGATGGCGGAACAGGATAACTACTATATTCTGCAAATCCCCGACGCGATTTGCCAGTGGCTTTCAGCAAGAGGGCAAAAATAGAGCACATCATTGGCTCCGGAACCACTACAGAACCACTTACTTGGGCTTTTACATGGGAGTCCAGGTTGATTGAGTGAGAGGGAACACACCAAGTAGATTTACAGAAGCAGGTTTGTCAGGGTCATAATGTAATTGTTACGTGGCACACGCTATGGAGCCTGTATGAGGAATGATGGGCTAAAAAACACCTCTGGCTAAATCCTTGTTTATTTGAACAACCACTGCACTACTGTCTTAATTTAATATCAATAACATTACACTACTGTCTTAATTAAATTTTCTAATTTAATACATATTCCACCCCACTGTACATACTCCTATCTCACTTCCACTTTAATTGAATATGTTCTGCTCTGCTATTTTATTTTACTGTACATATATTATGCATTTTTCATTTTATTTACTGTACTGCTGCTATTGCACAGACATTTTCCCTTTGGGATTAATAAAGTATATATCTATTATCTATATTTCTATTTTATGTCATTCAAACACAGTTCTGGTGAGAGGGACGTCAAGAGGGAAGATGACAAAAGGAGGAGTAGGAGGCAGTGTCTCTCACCTAGCTGGAACCCGCTACTATAGTCAGCGTCCTCTGGTGACGAGAAGGGAAAGAAAGGAGAAGCCAGAATAGAGGCACAACATCATGTTAAAGAGAATAGTCATGAGTGCAACAGGCACCCACCTCTCCAACCACAAAGACATACACAAGAGAAAAAACACACAGAAAGGTCATTGAGACTTCTGACTAGACGTTTGTGTTATTGATGTGGGCGGAGCTTCTGAGTGACAGCCAGAGATGTAGTGGTAAAAAAGGAAAGTTTAAATATGACCTCAGGGGAGGCAAGTGAGAGAAAAAAGACATTCTGTTGATCTTCTCAAGTCTGATCGGAGTGGTTTTCTCTTCTGTTTATAATTAAAAATGAATTTGTAAAACAGGTGGAGAAAAGTTTTGCCAGGTGAAATAGAAAAGGTTTGGCCAGGATAATTTTCAGTGAAGTCTTGTTATTGTTGTACTAATTTGAAACAAAATAAGTTAAAACACAATTCTTATGAATACTAACTGAACTAACTAAAACTAAGAACATAATTTTTTTCAAAACCAGCAAATTTCAAAGACGGGTTTGATGTGAGTTTGTAGAAAGATGGCAAATTCATTGATTTAAATTACGTTTCGGCAAAACTTTTTCACCCCAGGTTAATTCAAATACAAAATGGAAAATTGTGTAAATCAAAATTATTTTTCTCACTTGCCTCTCAGGGCTTCCGTACAATCTTAAACATCAACATTTAAAATCAACGCAGTCTCACAGCAAAACATGTAATAGCGATGTTGTGGAACGTGGTATTCTTACGCTTTTGGAGAGAAAGCGTGACAATACAACGTTTTGTTTGCAACTAGGTCACGTGACTATCAAGTTTCCCTCAGCTAAAAAAAGAAAATGGCGGACTGTCGGTCCATTATCTATATACATCTATTATAAATATTTTAAGAAAGCATCAGCATTTGTATGCATTTCGATGGCATTTCTAGCGAGAAGTATGGGTTATATTTTCATCTTCTATCAGAGAATGTAGAACACCTTCCGTTTATTAGTTTCTAGTGACGTAGTTGCAAGGCAATGTAAATGAATGGGCCAAAATAAAACGTAGTATTGTCACGCTTTCTCCCCAAAAGCGTGAGAATACCACGCTCCACAACGTAGCTATTAGACGTTTTGCTGTGTGACTGGGTTGTTTAAAATATATGTTTTTCCTTGTTCTTCCTCACAAAGATATTACAATAAACTTCATTTACCAAAGCTTGTGGTAAACCCTATTAATTTAAAATAAAAAGTAGCATAAGGTTTACAATCCACAGTGACCATTGCTTTGGATGTTTTCTTTTTGAAGTTTATGAATCTGTACACTCCATACGCACAAAGTGACTGGAGGTAAAAATTAGTTAGCTGGTAAAAGTTAGTCTTTGCACAATGCAAGAGCGAGTGTTTGAAGGGAGAAACGGACAGGGGCATCTGCTGCTCTGCTGCGTTCACACCAAAAGGGCTTTACGAAAAGGCAAATTATTTGCTTCGCTCTATTTGCTTTTTCTCTTCCTCTGCATCTGTAGATGGACTTTGCATGACGAATGATTCGCTTCACTTTTGATGTGTACGCAGGATACGAGCAATTAGCTTTCATATGAGGCTACAGGCCAAATAGATAGTGTTTCCCTGAACACTGAGATACAACAAGGATGCAGAGCAGAGGTGAGAGGGTAGACATTTGGTTACGGACAGAAATGATGAAGGTGAATGAATTACAAATGGCTTCTATCAGGTAGTAATGTCCTCTCGAATGAGAGGGACCTCAGACAAACCATACCTTCCATCTCCTTGACTGTGTACGAGCGATAGAAGCAAGGAATGGAAATGAGTCACAGTTGTTACAGCAATTGTTGGGTTACAAAAAGTACGTTGGGGGACGGTGTGAGAGAATAAAGAGGAAGAAGAAGAAGAGGACACCTACCAAAGTCTATAGCCACATCATCTTAGAAAAGCAAAAAAGACAAATGACAAAAAGAGTTAGCATCCTGATATCTCAACTGAAATACTGGAATTTGAGCCGCACAAGTAAGCTAGTTTGTGTTTCTCCATCAGTAACTCAACTAGTAAATAAATTCATATTGAATTATTGTCCTCATATCAAACTGAAATAGCTTGTAATTGTACTTCATCTATCATAAAATACTAACTCAAGGTCCACTTACTAGCTCTTCCAAAGAGTCCATCAGTGGGTCAAGTATGCTCAGCTGTCTTTACATTGACAAAGCATGTAACTTAGGTGGGAGGTCCTGACCCCGATCCCAAGTTTTATACAGCTTAGGTGATGACAACCCCAAGTACCACTGATGAAGACCATGGGATGCAGCTGAAAGCTAAAAAGAGCTTTACATCAAACTAGAGACCTTTAAACATTGGGGACGTGAAGTGTAAACAACGCGGAAATGCGAAATAATCTAATGCTATATATTGGCCCAAATACCGAGATAGGTTGGACGCGCAGCAGCCGCACTCAGTCTGTCTGAAGTGAATCGTTGTATAGCCTGAGTTCTACCTCTTTCAGCATTAAATAACTTTCTTAGCATTAAATAACTCTTTATCCACGTAGTATTCACAATCCAGTCAAGAGCAATGTCAATATGTAAAAAAACCGCCCCTGGTGTGTAAAGGCCTCGAGATGGAACTAGAGTCTAGACTAAATAACATTTCCACAGTTTACTATCTAGAAGACATTTACATCCCTGGTTACCTAGTGAGACACAGTCTGTGGTGTATGTCTGTAGCGGAGCCGCTGTGACTACACGGAGAGAAACAAAAAGCTTTCAGGTAGCATTTGCGATCACTCCACAGGTTTAAGAGTGCCATGCAAAAAGCTACAAGATGGCTTTTGGATATGGTGGGCGATGCAGGATCAGTGTGTGTGTGTGTGTGTGTGTGTGTGTGTGTGTGTGTGCGTGCGTGCGTGCGTGCATGTGTACTAGTTTAGGATGGCAGGCAACATTTGTAGGCGCTTATGAATGCTTCCTCCCCTTTCACATGTTCTCAGTTTGGCCAAAGAAGGTTAAACCAAAAAAAACGTACGTAACACCAGCGACCACAGCGCATTCAGCACATTCAGTCTCAGGGAGCCGCTACGTCAGAGATGTAATCAACAGCCCAAACAGCAGTCAGGAGCGATCATGGCGGAGGTCGCTCCACGCTACACAACATCAGGCCCCTGGAAGCCGGAATTGTTTCTGAAGTGCAGCACCAAACGTGTCTCGCCTTCATCTGACATCTTGTTTCACATGTTAGTGTTCACGGCAATGTTCCCCCTGATGTTGCCCTCATCCCAGCCTAATGTGACAGTTTAAGTCGAACCAGCGCCTGAAGCCCATTTCCAGTGGGATGAGAGGAAATAGAAGAGGGAGACTTGAAAGAGGGGAAACAACAAGGAGAATATGAGAATGATAAAGATTTCGAAAACTCTGTTCTGCGCTGACTGCACTAGCGGGACGCTTTTTCATCTGGTGCCTATCTGCCAAAGGAATGGTTTGCATTTTGCCTAATGGCTCAGTGGCCTTGTTCAGCAGCATTCCAAGTCTGATGAAACACCGCGTGATTACACTGCTGAATGTAAATTGACAGAGCACGGCCTATCTGAGGAAGCTTAAATGCTAACCCAAAGAAACGGATCTGGATGAGAGCATAATTTCCGCCACCCCCCTTGAGAGGGACTTGTGTTTAGGGGTGTATCCCATGTCTGTCACATACTTTCACCACAGAGTATGGCAGAGGGGTGAGATGAGGGTAGAGTCAGAATGTAGGAGTGGCGAGGTGGACGACAACAGGAAGTGTGAGGAGGTTGTAACATATATCCAATTTATCACACCTTTGGTGAGAGCTTTTGTGGTTTTGGCTGTCGTTTTTATTGGGTATGAATACCCTGTACTCATTGTAATTGATCAGATCTGGAATGTGATGGTAGTAGCAACGGGGTACAGGGCGGAAAGAAACACGAATGGTCGGATAATCTGAAGGACTTAATTTGGGTAACCTCATTATGAAACCGATCCTCGTCATCGTCAAGAGTCATACTGGAAACATCAAACTGTATGTATCTTCTTTTGGTGTCCTCTTTGTGGAGCTGTGTGCAGACTGTCAGTTTTTCGGGACAATCCTTCAGCTAACCCCTTTGCGAGGCAGGAGGAGGCCAAGGATAACCCCCGAGTCGCCCCCTTGTAAATGCCCCGAGTTATGGAGCTGATGTCACACTCTCAGCCAGCCAGTGCACACATGGCCTTGTCCTTGAGCAAACTGGGCGCTGTCACTTTGTCTCTCTTTCCCTCACTCACCTTTTGTCTTTAACAAACAACATATGACAAGTAGCACTTTCCAGGGGAAGCTTTGTCTTGCATCTTTCGGCCCTCAAAAGGCAGAGACGGTTATTCAAAGGGTGAGGGGGTGGAGTCGAGCTGGTCTGCATTTAAAATAATTTGTACGTCACAAAATGCGGGACACCGATGAGCTACATGAAGGGAACAGAAACAAATGACACCAAGTGTGGTGTTCCCTTATCTGTCACAAACCATTGCGACGGACACTTTACAAATCGGCAAAAGCGTCTGCGAGCACTGTATGGAAAATATTTAAATGAATACACTAAAATAGGCCAGGTTCTGTGGCCACTAAAATGGTACATGGATGTACTAGTATAGCACTTTGGGGGAGAGGAGCGCTTGTCATACGGAGGCAGACATGCAAGGCAGACGTCTTGTAAAGGAAAGAAAGCCCAGAGAGCCGTCCCTACATTCAGAGAGAACAGATGGAGAGGCTGGAGGACGGCCAGGTGTTGATCAAGTGAGTTTTGACAACCGGAGATGTAACACAGTTGATCTAACCCAAGTTAATAATCAACTTGATGGCACATTTAAACATTAGTTCTATAACAGAGGTAGGCGAAGTAAAGCAGCGAGAAGGACCGGGAGAACAATTATTTATACCTCACAAATGTTAGGCGTAAATGGACACGGTTAAGTGACGCTAACCGCCGACGCTCGCCAAGACCAATGTTGTTCAAGTCAACAAAGCTCCCGAGCTGGAAAGAGAGAAAAAAGGGACCCCCCGCCTCAATCAGCAAATCAGTCCCATGCTACGGTACGAGCGGGGTCTCCGTGGTATCCTTCAAGTAGGTTGTAGTTTATGGCCCCGGGGCCGGTATGCAATCCAAGCCTTCTTCTCCTTCCAGCCCCCCCACCACTACCACCGCTACCACTTTGCAGGGGCCACATCTGCTACCGAATGTGACCCTATCCATCTATTCCTCTTTCAATCTACCCATAACGCTCTTGTCAGCACATTTTTTTTCTTTTCTTAGTTTTTCTCTTTTACACCCTTCACATTTATTCACTCAACTTGCATGACTGGATCTGACATTTCTCTCCATTTTCCAAGAGCAGAGTGAACTTATCACTGTCCCGTTATTCATCCAGTCCTGAAACGGCCATGTCAAGGGACTTCCTACTACTGCTTCTGCTGCTGCACTCAGCACCGTACAGCATGCATGACATTAGTGGACTCTACTACATCTTACACCTGCCTTCTTTGCAAAGAGAGTGGGTGGTACTTGTGTTGGTAAGGTTATGAATCCCATAACTCATAATAGGAACTGGGCCATTAAAATGAAATAGTAATGCAACCAGCACTGTCTGCCTTTAGCATTTCGGCTGGCTATTTTTGGCCTTCCTGCACAGTGTGTGCCAGTGTGCGGTTGAACATAACCAGGAAATTAAAAAATCCATAATTCACCCGAGGGATTGAGATGGGAGGTAAAAAAGAGCCCTGTGCAGTTTGGAGGTGTCCAGCGTAGCTTTGCTGATCATTTGGAAGCCGCATATTGAAAGGGTCACATTACATTAAGGGCTCTCCGCCATGTCAAGGGAAAACAAGCATTCAAATCGACCGGTCTATCCCAAAGTGGGAATCTAGAGTGAAAAATATGGCCAATAAGAAGCCAGGTTTTGGTTCAATGGGGTCATTGTGGAAACCAGAGAGGGGCCGAGTACAAGCATAGTGTATTTTTCCTGAGGGCTTGTGGGTGAGAGGAAAGGAGGCGAGCTGTTGTGGAGGAGAACATAAATGCGCTGCTGTGGATATGAAGTCATGAGCAGAGATGTGAGGACGGAGCAAGGACGCAAGCGGCGAGAGAAGGACAGTTTTTTCAGCAAACAAGCTTGTAGCTGGGGTAGACAACTGATGTGCTACTAATTTTTGTATGTTTAAATGGAAGAATCCAAAAGCACAAACATCAAGCGTGTGTGGGGTGGGGGCAGTCTATGCAATTTGCCGCACTGGCTGCAGATATTGGCAGCATGTTCACCCTCCTTCGTGGATACAGGCGTGCACAGGCACTCATATTGTACTGGGGCGGTCCTGGAGCCAGCTGGATGGGCTTCCATTCATGCACCGTGGCTCCCCATATACAAACTAAATTGCTGTTTGGCGAGCGCTTGTGAATCTCAGCAGATGGCTTTCTGCACATCGGGCAGGCACACATTAACAGGGACTCTCAGGTAGAAAGGGAAAGTCCCGCTAACCAGTGTGGCGTATGTAGCAAGTGGGCAGAGTTTGCGAGAGTGCAACTTGGGTCGATTAGGACTTATTTCTCAAACTTCTAAAAGCAGAAATCAAAGTAACGGTTTTGAACTCAGCAGCTTGATAGAGGGAAAAGCACACTCCCCTTCCATAGGTGAGAGGTGATGAGTTTAACTGTAATTACTTTTTTTGGTAGAATAATTTCTACTCTTGAATTTGGATGGATCCATTGCGCTACTTTCCTATATTTGTTATTTGATCCATGGTGTGGAAGCCAATTTAGCTACACGCCCCCCACACCCCTCAATCCGACCATTTCCTGATCCCCTATTCTTACAGCACGTTTCTGCTAAGTAGCCCTACTGATACATTCTTCCCCCAAACGTTTCCTGCACTGACAGGCCTGGGATTTGGGGTCAGTGTCTAGGCTCACAATAGTAAACAGGTACGTAACGCTTCCCCTGTATCACTGTGGGTCTCGCGCCAGGCCATTAATCCGTCGTTAGGCGCATTGAGATGCAGAAAGCCGATGTTTTGCCTGTAAGGTGTAATTTCTCTGAGATGTTTTCCAGAGGGCAAACCTCCACCCCTTTCCTTCTTCTTTGCATCAAAAAGCCGACTGCGTCAACACGTGGAGACAGGCAAGAAGGGGGACCGAGTGGAGAGAATCTGGCGGTACACTGGGGGAGCGAACCGTGGAGCAGACAGGAAGGTAAATCCAGACACAGCGCTTCCTCCGATGACAGGCACCAAGCAGCACCGGCGGCCTCGGAGTGCAGGGATGAGTCCTGACTTCCACCGCTTGTTAGTTGATCTTCCCCTCCTAAACCCCGCAGTGTGTTACGGTTGTCGGTGACAGAGAGGGGATGCTTACATGATCGCCGGCTGGAGGTCCTCTGTAGCGGGAGAGTTGCATCAGGCCGCCGCAGTGCAAATCTCCTGGAAGAGAAGAGGTAGAGAAGAGGGTGAAGAAAGACGGGGGGAAATAGGCACAATAAAACGTTTTTTCATGACCGCCGGGGGGATGATAAACACTACGCTTCGATGTCCAGCAGTTTCACGCTGTCAGCTGGTGAAAGGAGCAGATTGAGGAGGTGAAGGAGAAACTGTTGACAAAACTGAATGCATATATGTTCTCTTATTTTGCTCTCCTCCCTCCTTCATGCTTTTTTTCCCTCCGTGCGCCGTTGAAGTTGCCAACAAACTGCCCTAGGCTACTCAGCTCTACGTCACCACCGTGCGGACGTGTGAGCGTGCACAACGATGTGTTATTTTCCCATCCGCATGCCATCCTCAGAGGATCCAATGCAAGCGCTATCTTTCGCTCTTTCGTTATTCATTTTGGGAACCAGACATCGAGGCAATGTGGTGCAAGCAAGGAGGGAGAGAAAGTGGGTAAATCTTGACAGCAGCACAAACAGTCAGGACAGCCTTGTCTCTTACCTCTCCTGGAACTGCTTAGACGGGATTAGGCCAGCACGGGGGTTAGCCTCCCCCTCATGTTTGGCTTGCCACCAGGTGGCATCGTCCTGGCTCATGATCTGTAGGATGGAGCCCCTCTTGAAGGCCAGTCCGGCCTCCATGCATGGGATTGCTTTGTCGTCCTTGGGGTCGTAGTCAAAGAGCGCCTTCATAAACACCTGGACGCATAGCAGAAAATAATGAGCTGGATTGCGGGCATAAAAAGGAAAAAGTGACGCTTCTTTGGAAACTACCTTTTCCCTTCCCGTGGGGGAAAGGGGAACTCTGAGGAGGAAGTCATGATGGCAAACACAGAATGTGGTTCTCCAGCTTTCTGGGAAATTATTCCAGAAAGGTCAGTGCAATCAGAAGTTGAAAGCTGCAACGGCGTGCCAAATTAGTCCTACGCGTGGTGCCGTCAACACGTAGGACAGACTAAGCCCCAATCATCATCTTCAAAGTGTGGCGAGACTTAACATCTCCTCAGTCAGCGGCTGCGGTTTTAAATTAAATGGTTTTGTTCTACCCGCTGACCCAATCTAATATTAGTAAGATTTCCGCATTTGGGAACAGGGAGCTTATCTCATATGCTTTGGCAGCAGGGTTGGACACAACTCATCAACACAAAGGAGGTTGGACGTTACGGTGGAAAAATCTCAGACAATTCAATCACTCCCACCTCCATTGTGGGCGGCGAGTTGCGAACTTGCACCTCGCGATTCCTTGTTGTCCAAATTGAGATTTATCACTATGAGTTATGGCACCTCAATACATGTGCAAGAGTGAATGTGTCAGATGACATTTTTTGATGAAGAGCGCTTTGTGCCATGTAGTAAAGTTATGTTTCAGACTGAGCTGTTTAGTTTGGGTCACAGAAGCCCATTCGGCCGCTACCGGCAGAATGCACGTACATTTACACATTTCTCCTCCAGCTTGGTTCATTTGGCATGGATGTGCTCAGACACTGGTGCAACATCGTGATACTTCCAGCTGACTGAAGTAAGGAACGTGGGCTGTTTTCGTCGAGCATTTGGCACCGGCAGACCTATTTCTCATACAGTAGCCCACCATCACCTGCGTGTGAGAAAAACGACCGTAACCCCAGAAAAATAAAAACACAAGTGGACCCAGCTTTTGTGTGGTACTGATAGATGAGTGCGAGAGAAATGCTTAATCGCGCCCCCCCCCCGAGGGTGAGAATGATGGTTACAGAGGTTTCAGTTAAACCCCCCTCGGAATCGATGACTACAAGCTACTGTCTGCTGGTGCACACAAATGAGTACAATAGAGTGCTGCATGGATGACAATTTTTCATCCATGCAGCACTCCCCTTTCCCTCAAAGTGATAATCTCCTTCTTTCTCTCTACAAAAACAAAATGGGATTTATTTATTTTTTGCAAATGTGTCGATACTTGCACTATGTCAAGAACAAAGCTTGATGATTTTGTTAAAGCGTGAACATCATTACAAGAAGTAAAAAATCGACTTCAAACAACATTGTAAACCATTGATCAGAGGGGACAAAACAGTAATAAACAGTATATTTTCCTGTGAATTACAAATAACACAAACTATGATATAATCTCAGTTTCCGGTATATATCCGGTAAAAAAACTTTAGTCAAACAGTTTGACCAATCTTAAAAGTAAGAAATTTGTATAAACATCATTTCAGTGGCGCAAGCTAAAACAGGGTTTCGTTTAAAAAAAAAAAAAATGGTTTTACATAAGTATCAATTTATATGTTATTGGTATCTAATCAAAAATACATCTCTGCATTAACACATTCTATGAGTTTCTTAATCTCGTCTTCCCTTGTTCAGACATCATTTCCTCATTCCGGCACAAAAGAAATGTTCTGCATTGAACAAAAAAGGCATCACACTGGAGGAAAAATCTCTCCCTGTTATTAAAGAGTGTAATCCAATCAACATGAGGATTACGCTAGCAGAAGACCTACCTTTGGCTCCTTGGTTGGTTCCTCCTCCTTGACGCTGGGGATCACTTTGAAGGTAATGGCCCCCTGCGACTGGGCCTGATTGCGAAAGATAGATATAAATGTTTCGGTACCGATAGCGGGGTGGAAACATCAGTCGTCCGTGTAGCACCTAATACAATGAAAGTCATATATTTAATAAAGCTTGTTGACATTTTTCAACAATGGAAGGGTTATTAGGATTTGATGACTCTGCTGGGCAGGAATACATTGTGTGGGTCTTAGGCGGGAGGGAGGGGGGGGGGGGGTAAATGGAGTGCTGGAGGCCATTCTGTCTAACAGACGTCTCCAGAGTTTAAGAGACCGGCGAAGCACCCATCTCTTGCTGAGGGAACAGTGGGGCTTAATGCATATGGCTTACCAGGAGACGGATGATCTCCTCTGGTTTCTTGTCATCAACGGGGATCCCGTTGACCTCCTTCAGTTCATCTCCTACGTGAATCAGCCCTGTCAGACACACAAGCATGCGTTTTACGCATTTAGCATCTTATTATATGCTAATATAAGTGAGCTACTGTGAAGAAGTACAGCGCATGCTAAGAGCCCAGGGATGTATACAGTACCCCAGATTACTGTTTATCTTTGTGGTGGCATTTGAGATTGGGAAAGAATCAAAGCTTTATTGCCCGCACATGTGGAAATTTGCCGCCGGCTTCGCTGTGGCGGGGCTGAATAACAGGCTGGACACAATGAACAGAAAACCAAACCGAAAACATGTGGACAGCAAGCAGAGCGTTGCAGCGTCCTCGCCACTAAACGTGCATATTCACAGAGAGAAAAAGGATAAATTGGGATTCAGGAGCGAGGGTCATTCCCGATCACATCTCTACTTTCTTACACGGCGGATGTCTATTGTAAAGCTGCAGATAATAATACAAATGTTGAGATAAAAATGCATAGCACTGACCACTTCTGTCGGCCGCTCCTCCTCTCATGATGCGTGCCACAACGATGGCTCCCGTGAGGTCGTCACGCCTTATCGTCGCTCCCTGCAAAGCAGTCACAGAGAATCATATGAAACTGGACCAGATTTCTACACTGCTTTTTGGAACTGCAGCTCAAAAATTGGGTAGAGTAAGACATGAGCTCCAAATGGCTGATTTGCTTTTATCTATTGTCTTATTTACAGGGACTCTTTTCAGGTGTACTTTCTTAAAGTTGAAAACAGTTGGTTCTGTTTACACACTTCCCTATTAATTGCAAATAATGTGAATATTCACAGCTCCCAAACAATGCCTGTATTGAAAACAAAGAGCGGTACACATTCTGAGCACCCGAGAAACACAATGACATGGCATTTCCACTTGTGGAGGCACAATGGCCTGGACTCAGGGTTGGGGCAGAACAGACAAAAGGCAGCAGACTCAAAACACACACAGAGTTGCTCAAGCGCTCGCTGTCCTGCTTCAATGGCTTGGTGCTCAGCCAGAAAGAAACACGAAGAGGATGGGGTTTCAACATCGTCATTTGAAATGACAGCGGTGATGCTTTTTCCAGTAAACCCAAACAGCCTCCTTCCTTTACAATAAAACAATAGGCTTAAGCTGTGCCAACTTGTCACGGACCCTTGTCACGGACCCTTGCACGGACGCCATTGAGGCACCAGCCTGGCTAGAATTGGAATGGAACGGGAATGAAAACTGTTGCTTGGGCACGGACAGCCAGAATCAGACATATGCGGCGTCTAGATGACGCAGAGTTTGCCGGGGCTGCGACCTATCCTTCCACCCTTTCCTAGCTGCTATTCCGATCATCACGAAAAATTGTTTTTACTACCGTTACTGTAAAGAAAAGCCTTCCTCGCTCTGCTCACCAGCCGTTTTTAATTCCAGCTGTCGTAGTCCATTGGCGCCCAGGTGGACCTGCTGGAGTGCAACAATAGCTCACCATGTGTCATACCACTCTGCTTTTTTAATGTTTGCCTTCCCGCGACAGCCCCAAAGTACTTCTGGCTATTACCAACAACGGAGGCACAGGAGGAGATATTAAAACAAAGCAAAACAAAACTCAAAGACCAAAGGAGCTTCTGGTTTGTGCCACTTTGCCGGTGCGATTAGCACGTCATTTTGGTTGTTTTCACGACCGGTTCACACCTAATAGTTTTCCTCCTAGATAATGGTTTCCTCAAGGACTTTTTGGCTCGTGGAGATTGGGAAAGACACCAGGAGAAGACAGGGCTTCGGTCCGCGGAGATCTGCGGACCCAATAGAATAATGGGGCTAATTTAAGAAACCCCAGGAGGCGGCAGTAGGAGAGAAACCGGTGGAGAGGTCAGTGACAGGGGAAGGCACTGTCAGACCCCTGAGTCAGGGTCACATAAAACGTCTCAGTGTGACTAAAAGCAGCTGGCTGTGATACCCCTAGACCGACACAAAGGCCTTTGTGGGTGTGTCTGAGAGAATAGGGCGCTGCAGAAAGAGACGGACGGGGTGAGATAGGAGGTCTGCAGAAAATCTTGCAGAAGTAGGACATGTGGTCATTAACTTTCTCTTTGCTTTTGCTTTCCTCCTCTCCTTTTGTGGAGCTGGCCGATGGCCAGCGGTGGGATGGATGTTTTTATTGTGTCCCCTGGGATCTCTAGTGGCAGTCTAAAGCCCAACTACACAGCAGACAGAGAGAGAGAAAGTGAGAGCCTTGGACTCAGTTTGTAAGGAAAACAGGCTGTCTGCATAAACTGTCCTCATATAGAATCTGCTCACACATGGTGCGTGTATATACATTGTGTTTTGACACATGTGGCTTAAATCAAACGCCATTCAGAAACACCACTTTTACGACCTTTACTGCGAGTGGCAGTAGTGATTATAGAGCAACACATTAAGTGTGCAAACACCAACGGACGGGGTCGCGAATCCAGATCTCGGGGGAAGCAGTTGTCCTCATTGAAATCACCATGCTTTTCACGGCGGGAGAGAAACACATTTGCCTATTTTCATTTTACACCTCAATGGCTCTCTGCATGGAGTTATTTAAAGAATAAGAAGCCAAGTATTATTTTACACATACAGGAACATGGAGCAGCCAGGGTTCGAACTGCCAACCCCGCGTTTCCCGGCGGACCCTCTCTGCTCCATGAACCACGGCCGCCCAGACCGGCAATGCTTTTAAAGCCTTGATTCAATGCGATTCACTGTTGACCCAGCGCCCTCCAACGTGATGGGAATTCACGGGCAAGCCAAGCCAGCAGCAAAATAGTCACGAAGAGAGGGGGGAGCCTCCCTCTTCATCTGGCCAGCCCCAGCTTGAACTCAGTCCCGGTACGGTAGCCAAATGAGCTCCGTCTGATAAGAAGAACGGAGAGAAGCCAAAGCACTCCAGTGGCAACCCGCGCAGGCCAGACTGGAGGATAAGTGGAAGAGCAGTGGAGAGCGAGGACTTGACAAGTTGACTGAGAGGGAAGTGAAAGAGGAACACAGGGGGGTCGGAGTTGAGAGGAAGCGCAAATGAATAATAAGAAAATTATATGATGAGAGAGCAAGATAGAAATGACGAGAGACTGAGAGCAACACAGAGAGTGACACGGATATAGATAGAAAGAATGTTGGTAATGGAGAGAGAATGTTACTGGCCAATATCCATCTCAATAACTCCTGTACAAACTAATGTACAAATTAAAAAGTTGGCGCGTTATGCTGAGCATTCCAGTTCCAAATGTAAGCAGTAGATTTAACAGACATGTTATGAAAGAACTAAGATCAGAAGTCAATGAACAAATTAATTACATAAAGATGATTACTTTTGTAGTATTTCGACACACAGTATCTATGCTTATTGAAGGCTGCCTTTCTAGGATCAACCAAGACCTATGTTACGTATACCAACTTTGCTGCGCAAGCTCACGGAGAGATGTGGCTTTTGTCTTCCCAGAGACATAGTATATAAGATGGAACAGGTAGTTAATGTTCAAAATCCAACCATATTTTTCTTTTGCAATTCCTAAGTTTTGTAGTACCCTATTCCTCGTAGTCCTTGATTATATTGGGAACCACACTCCCACCCTCCACCTCATTACAATCCACAGTTGGCCCTCCTTCTCTCAATCCTCCAGGGGTATATCCGCCTCTCCTGGAGGCTTGACAAAGGCTTTGGAAGCACTGAGAAGCCGGAGGGTCAGTGGTGGAAGCGGGAAGCTGAACAACAATCTGAACTCAGCATCACCTCCCCCTGTGCCATCATACCCCATGGGTGCTACGATCAGCCAGGCATGGCCACTAATGAGGAGCCCCTGGTCTGTTAAACCAATACATAAACAGACAGGCTAGAACCTAAATAAGCTGCATGCTGAGTGTGCATGCTTTTGTGGGGGATGGTTGGAGGGCGGGGGAAGGGGGCACACACAAGGAAGTAGGGCTGCAAGGTATACCATACTTTCCATACGGTATGAATTTCTCACGTACCGTTCATACTGGTGTTGCTGCATGACAACTGACGGTGCTCTTCAGCAGGCGGCAAAATTTAATTTAATAATTTAAATACATTTTGTGCAGCCCTACTGCCGCTGAGCATTAGCACAACCTGGCTGGGTTTACACGGAGCAACTCAACGCCTGCTGGCACATTGAAGCCATTTCAGACTTTTCCCCACGTGCTGGAATGGTGCAGGAAGTCAGACGGGGGAAACTTCCACGTCTGTCAAAGCACACGCATGCATGAGAGACAACGTGTGTAGGTGTGTTTTTTGTGCGGACGCGAGTGTGTCAGCATGTCTGCGTTCCTACATGAGCTTCCACCTGAAGCCGAGCCAAACCAGCCCAAGAGAAAACCCTCATAAGCCTGGGTGATTGATGCCGGACAGTCGCTGAGCCTGATGAATGGGCTACGCTCAGTTAGCAATTAGACACGAGGCGCCACTTATCCATCGAGGGAGCTCAAATACGCAGTTTGCGCCGGAAAAGATAGAGACGATGACGTGGTCAGGGCCTGGTTCACTCTTCCTGTTGTCCGCCATTGGTACAGTTTGCACTTTAGATGGGCATAGGATCGGACCCTTGATAGCAAGTCACTTGATTATTCACACTCGAAAATTAAGCAGCCGGTGGAAGAAACACAGGACAAGAGTGGGGGGTCATCATGGTCAGGGCACAGCCACCTAGCTGTAGTCAATTAGTCATAAGTAAGGCGATCCGAAGCCTCCACTGCGAACGAGATCAGCTCCATATGAAGCCGCTGATCCCAGCCCTATTTCTCCAGTCTCCAACAGATAAAGGCCTCTGATTGTTATTGTTAGGTCGGCCAAAAGGCCACGGTTTAGTCTGCAGTGCGTTGAGGAGAGCCGGAACGTCAGTCTGAAGCCACCAGCCGCCCCATCGCATGCACCGGAGCGCGCCTGCCGACACGGCGGCCGCATTACAAAGGTGCCATCTAAGTGAGGTAAAAGAGCGCAAGACCAGGGACTGAAATGTGAATCCCGTCACATGTGAGGGTATCTGTTTATTACAGGGAATGGAGTGAAGGCAGGTTGTCCAGGGAACAGTCGGCGCACAGTAGTGACATGAAGCTGATAAGAGGGGTAAGAGGAGCTAGAGGACTCATCTTGTTACCTCGGCCGGGTTTGGCCACAGTGTGCTCCTGGTGGGCTATGTCGTGGCGGGGCAATTAGAGAGCCCTCCAGCTGACGGACTGGATGGATGGCTGGCTGGATGACACGATAGCATCCAACTGGCTTGTGCTTCAGTAGTACGGATGACGAGAGGGCTGGCTCGTCAACTTAGCAGAGCGTTTCGGGGTCCAGGGAAAGCGCTACGACGGAAAGGACCCAAGGACGTCTTTATGCTGGCCGGGGCTTGGCCCGTTATGAAAAGAGCGGCGTGGCGTTTGACAAATGTTATGTCACGCTCCAAATTGAGAACGACAAGGGCAAACAAACGAGAGTCGGCTCCGTTGTGGAGGGAGGCCGACGTGTTTTGACATGATGTCACTTAACGGCAAAAGTGCAACAGCGACAATAAACTCCTGGCTGCTGCCATGTTGACTGCTGTGTTTGGAGGTCT